GGTGATCAAGGGAGACAGGGGCTGGGAGTCCCTTCATGTGGGTTTGGAGCCTCTCTGGCTGCTGTTCCCAGGTCTCTGCCAGCAGACCTTTGCTGCAGACATGGAAGCTCATTCTGATTGCCCACAGTTGCTGTGACTGCAAGCAGCTCTTCAGAGGTTTCTTTAACCATTCTGATGTTGGTTCCCGTGTGCTCTGCAGCTACAAACTGGCTGAAAACATCGATGCTCAGCTGAAGCGCATGGCACAAGATCTGAAGGACATCATTGATCACTTGAACACATCAGGAGGCCCAGCAGACACAAGTGACCCTGTAAGTGCAAGCTTTTATTTTATACTGCTGAAGAGGCAAAGGATATTGAAATAGCTCTAACTCTTCATTTGTCCCCATGTGGATACTCCACTCATACTTTATGCTTTTTGTAATATCCTCATAAAAGAGGATTTGAATAACCAGCTCCTTCTGATATCTATTGAATTGATTTTGATGCTCCTTTTGGCTTTACTGAGAAGCTTTCTTTCAGCAAAAATTTCCTTTCAGTATTGCAGACTGAGTTTTTCCACATTCATTTTGAATTTTGCCTTCTCCAGCCTAAGGTGATCAATGTTCTGCTGGTTCCTAGTTCTAAATTAAAATAAGCCAAAGCCACAGGCATATCCTCTAAACTGTGCAGTGTTCTTGCTGGTAAGGAGTAGCTAAATACCAGCATTGCTGCACACACTTCCCTGGCCAAGTGGCTGCTGCCTTAGGGAAGCTTGGCAAGGAGAAACTTGCCTTTGACTCCTCTTGCTGTTTATGCACTCTCACAACTGACTTGCACCTTCTCCCTCTGCTCAGCTTCAGCAGATCTGTAAAATTCTGAATGCACACATGGATTCCCTGCAGTGGATTGACCAGAATTCAGGTGAGCTTTGTCCTGCAGCCTTTGGGGAATGTGAATGGGAAGCAGGAGCCTGTGTGTGTGTGTTTGCCCATCCCTGAATTCCTGAGGATGCCTGAGGAGTGTTCCTCCTCACCTTCAGTGGCACTGTCCCTTCTGGCTTGAATTCTCCTGCTGTGCCTGATTAGAGGCCTCTGCTTAGAAGTTACTCCTGACAACTGGTATTTTTTACCCAAAAAGCCCTCCTTGAAATGTGTAAGTGCAAAGCAGAGAACTTGAAAACCTTATTCATGCTGTGAAACTAATGTTAAATAGTTCAGAGTGTGGGGTTTGCCTTTGATGCAGGAAAATTTGTGAGAGGAAGTGTGTTATTATCCCTTGAATCTGAAAATGGGAAGCCACATCCAGGTAAGATGGAGCAGCCTGCCTTGATCTGCAGGTGGGGTAACTGGAGGAATAACCTGGGAATTTCACAGTTTCAATATCCTGAGATCCAGTGCACAGAGGGATGCACTCAGGAGTGAACATTTGACAGTGGAGTCATACTAAAGAAAGACAGGGAAAAGGAACTTTTCTCCCTGAGAGTGCCTCCTGGTGAGGGATTCTGGAATTCTGTGCCGTTTGGATTTTAACTTTGAGCAGCCACACGGGGGCACGGCAGAATAAAGCAGCTCTCCTCTCAGCAGCCCAAGTGCACTGCCTGGCTGCAGTGCTGGGAAATGCTCACACCTGGGGTAGCTGCCTGTGTGAAAGCAAACCTGCTGTTCTCCCTGTTCACACAGAATTATTGGCTTAGGGCAGGGTCTAACTGGGTGTTTTCTTTCAAAACACTTCTGCTAAGCTCCACATTCCAAACATGCCTTTTTTAGGAAATTTGGTACAGCTCCTGTGCCACCTGAATTCTTTTCAGAATGTGTGTGAAAATAGCTGTTTCCTTTAAATTTTCCTAGAAAGGAGAGCCATTTTTTCCTCTGCCACTCAATAACGACAAAGTTTTGTTATTGGCAATTCTTTGGGTTGTGTTTTCCTCCGGATTTGTCAAATCTGAGTGACTGTCAACAAGAAAATATTTTTCATTCTGCAAGCAAAACTATGCAGGATTGTGTTCTGGGCTGACTGTGACATTAATTCCTTGTTTCTGCCACAGCTGTGCTGCAGAGGAAGGTGGAAGAGGTGACCAAGGTTTGTGAGAGTCGCCGCAAGGAGCAGGAGCGCAGCTTTAGGATCACCTTTGATTGAAACATTCCCAAGTTCAAAGGATGGATATAAAACCACCACAGAAAACAGAGGTGTTTGGGAGCTAAGGACTGAAATTATGACCTGGTTTTTGTTTCCTTTTTTACAATAAAATATGTTGTTTGTTCAAAGCCAGTCTGTGGTGTTGGACAGGGTTTCACCTGCTCCCATCAGAAACTGGATGAAGTTTGTACTCTGTCTTTAGCTGTGCCTGCAGACTGGTGAGGTAACAAATGTTGCCTTGGAGGGCTCTGTGTGGTTTTGCATGGCCTGGTTTGGGAGGAGGCTGCAGGGGTGGCTTCTGTGAGAAGTTGCCAGAAGCTTCCACCATGTCCAGCAGAGCCAGTCCCTGGTGGCTCCAAAAGATGGACAAATTGCTGGCCAGGGCTGGACCAGTTAGGCTGGTAATTCCTCTGTGAAATTTAAGAAGAAAGAAAAACAAATTTGTGGCTCAGTTGTAATTGTGGCCAGAGAAGAGTGGGGTGAAAACCTGTGAGGGGAACAACTCTGCAGCCACCAAGGGAAGGGGGGGAAGAGGTGTTCCAGGCACCAGGGCTGAGATTGCTCTGCAGCCTGTGGTGAAGAGCATGGGGAAGCAGCTGTGCCCCTGCAGCCCATGGGGATGCGGAGAGCCACCTGCAGCCCATGGAGGAACTCCAGGGCAGAGCAGGAGCATTCCTGGGAGGAGGCTGTGAGCCCATGGCTGAGAAGCAGCCTGTCCTGGAAGGCAGAGTGACCCACACTGCAGCAGTCTGAGGGGGGCTGTTGCCTGTGGGATGGACTCGTGTCAGAAGTTCAGAGAGAACTGTCTCCTATGGGAGGGACCCCAAACCTGGGGTGCTGAACTGACCATGACCCCCAATTCCTGTCTCCTTGACCATGATTCCCATTCCCATCTCCCTGTGTTGCTGGGGTAGGAGGGATGGGTGGGGGGGAAGGTGTTTCTAAGGGCTGATTTTACTTCCCATTTCCTTCTCTGCTTTGGTTAGCAATAAACTTATTTAGTATCTCTACTGTGAAAAATGAGTATTGTATGATTGGCTTTTCACAAATATTAAATTTAATATTATATGTGTTATGTTAGAAAGTTATGCTGTAATAATTTTCTTAAGTAGTGTGTTAAATATAGTTTTAGGTTATAACAAAATGTTAAAATAGAAACTATGCTATGTAGGATACTTTTTTAAAGAAAGGACTCGCAGCGAGATAGCAGCGACAGGACACCTAAATCTTTCAGAGAAAGAGAATTTATTGCCCCATTATTAGAAGAAACGAACTTCTTCCTGCCTTGCTCTGGTTTAACGATGCTCTTAGGCTTCAGAGGAAGAAATTGACACTGACCAGACAAAATCCTGTGTTTGAATGGAATTTATGCATCATGTATGAGGTGTATGAATATGCAACAGGTTATTGTTTTTAAGGGTTAATCCTCTGTTAACGTGGGTCCTTTTTAGGGCTTATTTTGCCCAAAAAGAGGTACCCAGACTGTCCATAACTCTTTGTTTTTGTTTGTCTCGTATTGTCTTGATTCAAATTGACCAAATTTTTTATTGCTCTAATTATATTGCTATTTTTATAACCACTTTATTACCATTAAACTGTTAAAATTTCAAAACCCAGCGATTGCCGTTTTTCCCCTCTCCGCTCAGCCTGTTACGCCCTTGACGCCATCTGACGAGCGATCTCTTCCGGTGCCTCCCTCAGCCCCGCATTCAATATTCCCCTCTCCGTTCAGCTGCAGAGGGGTGCGGCTGTTTTTGGGGTGTG